TTACTGGTAAAGTGGGAATACATGAAAGTTGTATCCTATATAAAGTCAACTGTATGTGCTTGGCAAAGAAGTTTAACAGAAAAATATCAGTTTAAATAGTACTCAATGCATGTAAGTCCAGGAGTAAGCATGCGCTGAAAGACATAAATATGTTGTTACATCAATTAGTCTCCATTTTTATGAGCCTCACTGAAAATCTTGCTCTGCTGCAGGATTTTGGGGTTTAAAGATTTATATACTTATTTATATATACTTTTATATATATATATAATATATATATATAATATATATACACTTATTTGTTCATTTAGGACAAGGTTTCTACATATATCCACTTGCTTCATCTAGGGCTCAAATAAAGAAACAGCCATTCAGATGATGTGATTTATTTTGTATGCTGAGCTTTAGAATCAAATAGGGTATTGACTCCACTATACCACTGTACTATTCTGGCACAGAGAGCACACAAGTCAAAGTTGATGGAACCCTGGGAATACACTGTTGAGACCATGAGCCATCAATTTTTTCTTATTGGTAACTAAATGACATAAAAACATAAATGACATAGTTTTATCAACTATGTCACCATTCCAATAGAGCTGTGCCACTGTTTAGGGAAAAGACATTCACATATATGGAAGATGAGGAATGTACAAAGCTATTCATTGCATAATGCTTTTAATAAAGACCAGGAAAAAATCTAAATGTCCAGAAGGAGAGGACTAATGAAGTGACACATCATACAATGGAATATTATGCTGCCATAAAAATGAAAAAGGAAACTTAATGACAAAGAACTTCTAAGATAAATGAAAAAAATAAAGTACATAAACTGTACATAGTACCATCTATGTAAAAAAGGGCAAAAAATAAAATATGTGTAGTATTTATTTGCTTATATACATGCAAAAGTTTTTTGGAAAAATATACAAGGAAACTATTAGCATCGGTTGCTTCCTAGGCAAGGAACTGGGTGGCTAAGGGGCAGGAGTAGAACGAAAACTTTTCATTGCATATTCTTTTTTACCTTTTGAATTTTGAACCATGTGAATGTATTACCTAATCCAAAAGAAAACACAAAATTTAGATTGGCAATAAAGTAGTTTGAGATGGAATAGGATCAGGTTCTTAACGGAAAACATTTACAGAAAGTAGGCATAGTTCTGAGGATAAATATCTGCAGGTAGAATATCAGAATGGTGACTATTCCAGACTTCTGACTTTTTAGATCTATAAACCAAGGCCCTGAAAATTATGTGACTCATGTAAGGTCACACAGCAAAAGAGGATTAGAAATCACATATTCCAGTATCCACTCTATGCCTCTATGACTCTTCTTTATCATATTGTTTTCTCATTTTGTATGGGCAAAACACAAACAAGTTTAGGCTGTCATGTTCCGTCTAAAGCTTAGAGTCTAAAGTACGAAATAACCTCAAATCCTGAGGCTATAATTTCTTGTATGGCCTTGATGTGGCTATACTTACAAATATGTGACTGCACGTATTACAATATGATAAATGTACTTTTTTCTATCCTATCTCAACTGAATTCACTGAGGGCAAGAACTAAAGTGTCTTAATTTTCTAAATATGCAAATGCCTAGCACAAGTGTACTGCCAAAAATATTAATATAAGTTCACATTCCTTAACCAAAACCCAGAGTCTGGATGTGGTTTAAAAATAATAATTTCTTGGGATGCGTGGGTGGCTCAGCCGGTTAAGCCTCTGCCTTCCACTCAGGTCACGATCCCAGGACCCTGGGATGGAGTCCCTGCATCAGGCTCCTTGCTCAGTGGGGAGCCTGCTTTTCCGTCTGCCTGCCACTTCCCCTGCTTGTGAGCTCTCGTTCTCTCTCTTGCTAACAAATAAATACATAAACCTTATAAAAAAAATAATTATAATAATTTCTTGATATTTAAAAATGTTACAAGGTACAAAAACCATTATGTAACACCTCCCATACCAGTGGCCAAGGGCAGCACCCCATAATCAAACATAAATATTTCTTCAGCAAAACATATGGGACAAAAATTATATATAATTTCTCATTTGCTCAGGTCATATTACCAAATGAATTTTGTCTCCAAGTTTAACTTTTTGGTTTGCAAAGCCTCCTGAATGTTGGAATTAAATAAGATTATACAGACTGTACTCACAAAAGTGCTGTTAAAAAATATGGTTAGTCACTTTAGCTCTCATCTTTTTGATGAGATCAGAACAACCTATCATAGCAGACAGCTTTTACATCCAGGTTTGGGCTAAAGACTTGGCTTATGATTAAGAAATCCAACCTAGAATACAGGACAAAACCCCCGACACTATGAGAAGAAAAAATTAAAAAATGAAAGAAAGAAAATCCTAATTGTACATTATATTCTTATCGTAGCTGTTCATTAATTTAATAAAAGCTCTCTTTGATTAGATTGCGTTCGTTTTTATTTATTTATTATTTTTTTTTCAAAGATTTTATTTATTTGACAGACACATAGTGAGAGAGGGAACACAAGCAGGGGGAGTGGGAGAGGGAGAAGCAGGCTTCGCTCCCCCCAAGCAGGGAGCCCAATGCGGGGCCGATCCCAGGACCCTGGGATCATGACCTGAACCGAAGGCAGGCGCTTAACGACTGAGCCACCCAGGCGCCCCTAGATTGTGTTAGTTTTTAATTAGAAACAGGTAAATAAAACTTCTGTCCCACACTGCTGACAGCAAGATTGCTTTAATTCTCCTGTAAGGTAACTGCACTTTCTGGGAACAGTGTACATAGAAAGACTCATTCTAAATATATTGGTAAAGAAAAAGCATTTATGTATTCAATTTTTTTCAACCTGTGACCGGTACTTTAATATAAATGAAAAGAGACTTTCTAGTCAATCTCTTCTAATTGACTCTCCTATATTATAATTCTTTTTATCCTATAAAGTCTTCCAAACTTTTTCTACTTTTTACAAGAGAGAAAAGCTCTGGAGTCAAAACACAGTATACACGAAAATCCTCTTTTCTTTCCACAACCCAAGCCCCACATCCATTTTGTTTCTGTTACTATTACATATTTTTTTCCTGGCAAAAAATCAAATTTGCACTAAAAGACTGTAAATCAACTTTACAAACAACGTTTCATTGATATAGTTCAGTTTGGCGATGTTGATTTTTCAATCTTAAAATTTTAACTGAATCAATTATTTTGTTCAACTTACGAAGTTAACAATTCAGCAAGCATTTATTACAAAAAAAAACAGTGTATTCCATCCTAAAAATTGAAATAGCAATGGTGAACAAGAAAAACTCTGAGTTTGGCTATTATTTCAAGGTTGAAATACTAGGTTCTCATATTTTCATAATTCACTTATAAAAACTAGTTGGATCTTACAACAAATATACCAGTATATTAATAATCGAGTACAACAAAAAAGGTAAACAAAAACTAACCAGCCTGGTTTTCTGTCTGGAGAAAAACAAAACAAACTGCCTATTGGATTTCTTGGCCATATGCATTCCTAAGTACAGAAAACTAAAATCCTTTTTACTGAGGAATTTCTTGGTATATGGGACTTGTTTCCTCTATACCGCCCTATCAAAATTACCAGCATTATTCCAGAATATAGTTATTTAGTTTGAGACCACTAAAAATACCCCACAGTCCAAAATGCCAACGGTGGTTACTCTGTAAAAAGAAATGGTCAGAAACTACATATTACTCTAGGACATAGAACCAAGCGACCAAAGGACTTCTAGAATATGCTGCCCCAAGATTCAGAATGCAATTCAGAAATAGCACACGCGGTCACGATGTCCCTTAAACCACATGACCTTCCTACGAAAGCAGAGCCTCAAACTTATCAACTACATGAGAACTCCCCCTTTCTCTTAAAACAAGGCAGGGCAGCTGAAATGAGCGCAGCAGGGACAGATCGGCTGCTGACTAGTAAAAACGGGTCGTGGATAGCAAAGTCCCTGTGTTTTGGCTACTCCCCTTACCGTTAGAAGATCTGGGAGGGAGGAAAGGAGGAGAAACACCCCAGAATCCTGGCAGAAAAGCCCCTGGCCTCGCAGATGGGGTTTAGGGAGACAGGGAGGGGCAGCTCCGTGTGTGGTGACCCTTTGTGAACACACACTCTGTGGCTGCTCGGCTCTCACCGAGGCTTTAGAAGAGCGGACTACGGGGACCTTGCGCGACCCACAATCGTCGTGGAGGCCGCAGCGCGGCGAAAACGCGCCGGCCGAGGGCTTCCATTGCACCCCCCGCCTCTACAGGCTAGGGAGCCCTTCCCTCGCCCAACCACCCACCCACCCAGGTCACTCTCCGCCGCGTAGACTTCCGACCCGGACTCGCGCGGGCCAGGGCGCAACGAGGTGCGCACCAGTCTCTTTCCTCAGCGTAATCCCTCCGCTGTCGGACGCGCACTAGTTTTAATCACGCCCCACCCCCTAGCCGCCGGCGTCACCTCCGCCACTCGAGCGCTTTCCAGCAGCTTCCAGAAACGTCGCCTCCCCAAACCCAGCCACTCACAGATGCCGGGCTCTGCAGCCACTGGCCCCGCCCCTAGCCGTCGCCGCAGCTGCAACTGCGGCTGCGACAGCCGGGCGGACAGCCACGCCTCTGCAGAGGCCGTCCGGAAGTGCTCCCGTTTTCGCCTTCCCCGCCACGCTGACGTCCCTTCAGGCCCCGCGCCGAACAGGAAGGGGAACTCTTTTGCCGCGGACTCAAACCGGAAGCTGCTTTTCTAGCGGAGAGACCGGTGGGGGAGGAGCAGGCCGAGGGGAACGTGGGTTGAACGTTGCGTGGTGTAGTGTGGACCCAGCCTGGAATAGGAGTTCGGAGCAACCCGGTGCGAGGAAGGGGCGTGCAGGCGGCAGGTAATAGTTTCCACCGGCTCCTCTAATCGGGAAGACGGACAGAGCTGGGGAAAAGGGACTGTCTGTGGGGTAGTCGGCGCACAGAAAGGTGGGCTACCCTGGGAGAGGAAAGGGGCTGGGACTGGACTCGGGTGGGAGGGTTGGTGATTGAGGTATAGAAATAGAGTTACTGATTCGTTTTGTCTCAGAGAGGTAAATGCTGAAGAGAAACCAGAGTTGTTTTTCGCTCTTCCGAAGAGCGTGGAGATGGGGAGGGTTAACGGAACCCTGCTCCTCCTGGGCTTTCCAAGGTTGGTTTTAGAAACTGAGATGTCTTGGTCCTGTGCGTCTCTGATTCTGGAGGGCTGGGTTTGGTACCAGGAAGGGCCGGGCGCCCAAAGCCGACCTCATTCCTCGGCTTTAAGTCCGCTGTGGCCTTATCTTTGACAATTTATGTGATGAGCCCGCTTGGTCTTGGGGGGCAAACTCAAGTTTAAGGCTCTTCTCGGAGCAGCTCGTTCTCTGGGTTTCCCCCCTGTGCACACGGGACCGTGAAACAAGCTTAACTGCATATCTTTCGTCATTCCCAGGGCAACCTTTACACAGTCATTGTGCTGTAACTGCGTTCATACGGGGCTAAGTAATTCACATTCGGGGACCGGGAATATCAGTGACTCACAGAAGTACTGAAAAGAGGGCGTCAGAAAAAAGGTGCTGAGGGTGAAGTGGAGTAGAGGAGGGTAAGATTGGAAAACCAGGTTGGTCTCAAGTGCAGTTAGCTTTAGGTCATAGTACTACCTTCAGGTAAGGTGTAAATAGATGATTTTAAGCTGAGCCGTGACAGACTCAGACTTGTTTTATACAAGCGTCACTTCGGCAGTGTTACAGAGGGGGGACGGGTTGGAGAGGTGGGGATTTGAGGCTTCCAAAGAACTGTCCACAGAATTTGGTGACACTTACTGCGTGAAGAAGTGGGAAGTGAAAGTTTCGAGAATCACTCAAATTTTCTAGTGTGTTTGGAAAGATGAAGATACCAAAATACAGGTGAGATACAAGAAAGAGGAGCAGGTTATGTTGGTAGGGAGAACAGTGAAGATGATCATTGAGGGCAGATTAACTTGTGAGAATCACCCCAGGGTTTTGTATAGAAGACAAAGTTAATTAATTTTGGAAGACCTGGATAGCTCACCTCTGGTATTTTTTTAAATGAATTTTCTTTTGTGGGGTTTTGCATATTTAGAATTTCCACCACCAGCCTATCTGCTTTCCCCATTGAAATGTTGGCTCCTGGGATCAGGATCAGAGCAGATTTGAAGGCTTCTTATGTTTTACTTTTATAATTGAGAGAGAGAGAACAGGCCAAAAAAGTTTTCTAGATCCCTCAGGCAGATGGAAATTTTCATCAAAAACATCTTATTCAAGGTATATAGGGTACCAGTTTTTCTTTTGAGAATACTGCAGAATAATACAAGATGTGCAGCATATTTTCTACATAGAGTGAAGTATAAAACTAGCACCAAATGAACAGTAGTTAAAATTTACTGTCCGTTCAGGTGCTAAGCATATTACATGTATTGTATTTAATTCTTAGTACAAACCAGTGTTACAAATTTCTGAACCCAGATGTGCAGTTGTAAAGCCCATGCTTTTAGCCACTCTGGAACTATAAGCATTTTGACTCTTTCCTGTATAGTTCTCTTTTGTAAGTATATTATAAATAGAGCCAGCCAAAAATAAATTGGTGTTGTCTGTGAGGAGCTGAAGTAAAAGTTAGCACCAAACTTATTTTTATCTTTTTGGCAGTGGTTCTCAGTGGGGCAGTTTTGCTTCCCAGGGGTCATTTGGCAATGTCTGGAGACTTTTTTGGTTCTCACAACCGAGGAGTGCCAATGGCACTCACTACCTAGTAGAAGTCAGGGATGCTGCTAAACATCCTACAATGTGCAAGACAGCCCTCACAGCAAAGAATTGTCCGGTCCAAAATGTCTATAGTGCTGTAGTTCAGAAGTCCTGCCTTAGCAATATTTCTTCAGGAATTTGAGATTCACTTATACTTTTCTTAGAAGCATTTTTATTTTTGAAATTATTCCTTAAAAGATGTGTAAAGTTTATACATCTGGAACAGAATAGCATAACTGGTTTTTAAAGTGAAGCTGTAAGCCACGGTTTCCCAGGAGGTGGTTGTTACAGAAATTCTTAGATTTGGGAAAGATTTTTGCTTGAAATTATTTTACAACACCGCATAAGTGGTGATTTACTCTGCTTTAAGGTCTTTTGTATCTGGTTTCCTTATATTTTAAATCCATACCTAAACTACTTTTAGTAATTAATTTTTCCTTATACTGAGCTCCAGTCTTATAATTTTGACTTTACTGAATGTGATTCTATTCCATGGGATTACACTCAAACTTGTTACATGTTGTAATTTGTACTATTATAGTGTTTATATTTTTGTTTGGTACAGTTCATTTATTACAAAATAGCATATTGTTGGAAATTTAAAAAAAAAAAAAAGCATTATTCTCTTGATGACCTTGGTGGTTGAAAGCAGTAGAAATGTATGGGGTTCTTTTGTCCCTGTCGAGCAATGGCACAATAGATCTGGGGTCTTTAAAATACATTCTTAGTATAATGCTGACATACTTGTTTCAGATTATGCATAGACCCTAAAAACTTGGGTTTTTAAACTCTGGTCAATATAATTTGTTATTTAAGTAATAGTTTATCTCTCTTATAAGTTTTAATAAATTTGCTTACAAATGAGTCTGAAACTTGGTCCTGTTGCCAATCTGCTCTCTTCCAGCAAATTTGCTAGGTTTACAAGTAAATATAGGTAATTTGTTTTCTCTTCAAGATTACAATTTTAGAATATGTTTATATTGGGACATGTAGTTTCAAAATATACTTAATGTATATAATCTTATAAGATAGCATAGCTCTTTTTCAAAGTAAACAGGATTTTTATTTAATTGTCTATTGACTTTTTTTTTTCCAGGGTTCATTGAAAAATCCTTAGTGATATTGACATGTTTCAAGTGACATAAATTAGCCAATGACTCGGAATGATGGATTCCCCGAAGATTGGAAATGGTTTGCCAGTGATTGGACCAGGGACTGATATAGGGATATCTTCACTCCACATGGTGGGGTATTTGGGAAAAGTTAGTGAACTTATTTTTTGCCTCAGTGCAAAGTTGGTTTTTGTCCTCCTTTTTATGAGACTTAAATTTGGTTTTAATTTACCAATTCTAAAAATTTATATCTTCCACGGAAATCTTACAGCAATGGCGAAAGATTATTTTAATGTATTTACCTCTCTGTGTTTTATTGATATGTGAAAGTAGAAATAAAACATAGACCTTGTGGTTTATTATTCTCAGAAAATGTGGAACATACATTTTCCCTGGTAGTTGACATTACTTTTTTTCTTGCAAATAAAACTGATGCTATTTTTAACACTTAAAACTTAGTATTTAAAACTATAATACATTCTTTTTGGAATAATAGCTATATTTAAAGTGTATATGCATTTCTTTTATTTGCCATGTTTAAAATATCTAGCCAGGACACTTCCAGGTGAATATTGTATTTTTTTTCTGGGTTACTTTTCCATTTAACTTTTTGTAATTTGATACAGTCTAGGAATGTCTATATTTTAATTTACTTTATTTCTCTTTTAGAATTATGATTCAGCTAAAGTCCCGTCAGATGGGTATTGCCCTGCTTGTAGAGAGAAGGGAAAGTTAAAAGCCTTAAAGACTTACCGAATTAGTTTTCAAGAATCTATCTTTTTGTGTGAGGATCTGCAGGTAAAGTATTAATCTTAGATAGTATTAAGGTTTTAGCTTTTTGCTTTTTTCTTCAGTGTTTAAATTTGTACTCGTTTTGTATTTTTTAGACTGTACATTTTTAATACATAATCAGAGTTTCTAGATCTGCCTAGTATACAGTTTTAAATATTTTCTGTTATTTTTCCCGAATTATTGCATGAAGATACTTGTTTTTATTATCATTAGACTTGTGAGGGGAGAAAATAGATTTCAAGGTGGGTTTTTTTTAACCTTGTGGGGGTCCTTGTTAGTTGTTGGAATATAGCAGTTATCCTTTCATCTCTTTGATTTATAAACTTTGGAACTTATTGGAAAAGTTATTAATCTCTAAATATTATATACTTAAGGATCTAAATATCCAGTGTATCCAGTGGTAGAACCTTTTTTTTTTTTTTTTTAATTTTAGTTACTTATTTGAGAGTGAGAGAGAACACGCGTGCAAGAGAGTGGGGTAAGAGGGAGAACTAGACTCCCTGCTGGTTAGGGAGCCCTACTCAGGGCTCAGATCTCAGGACTCCAAGATCATGACTTGATCTGAAGTCACTTAACCAACTGAGCCATCCAGGCGTCCCCAGTGGTACAACTTTTACATAGGAGCTGATTAAATTCCATAATACTCCACATTTTATTGTACTTGACAATTTATGAAACTCTCATATACATGTTTAGTTCTCTAAACTTTGCAAGGTAGTTATTTCCATTATGAATAAGAAATCAGGGTTTAGGAACATAAGATCTTCATAAAGTTGCAAAACTGTAATTGGAATATAGTCTTCTAATTTCAGATATGTTTTATTCCAAGTAAACTAGCAGTTCATCAGAATCACCTGGAGTACTTTTAAAAAATTTCTGAGTATCATCCCCGGATGCCATTTCAGTAGAATTGACCCAGAATTATATAATTTTTAACTCTTAAGGATGAGTCTCATGATCATCCAAGTTTGCAAAATACTAAACTAAATCACACTGTTGGTGATAGATACTTTGGCTGAGTGTAACTTGAAGAAAATCTCTGGCATTCCTACAAATAGAAATAAATTTCTTTTTGCATTTATTCAATAATTTTTTTTTTTTTTTTTTTTTTTTAGTGTCACCACGTTGGCAGTGTTCCAAAGGCTAGGATACAATGAATAAAGCAAAAAATATCTAACCCTCAAGAAGGTGGTTATGGGGGCGCCTGGGTGGCTCAGTTGGTTAAGCATCTGCCTTCGGCTTAGGTCATGATCCCAGGGTCCTGGGATGGAGCCCCAGCTCTGACTCTCTGCTCTGCAGGGAGCCTGCTTCTCCCTTTCCCTCTTCCTGCCACTCCCCCTGCTTGTGCGTGCGCTTTCTCTCTCTCTCGACCAAATAAACAGTCTTTTTTTTTTAAAGGTGGGTATGTTCTAGATGGGGAAAAAATATCAATAAGTAAGTTATAGTTTTTGTGTGTGAGGTAATGAAAGGTGCTGTGGGGAAAAATAAAGCCCGGGGACCCAGAGTGGTGAAGGGAATTCTTCATTGAGAAAGTGACATTTGAGCAAAAACCTGGAAGAAATGAAGAACAAGCCATATGGCTATCAGATGGACAAGCATTCCAGGCACGGAGAGTAGCAGATACAAGGCCCTGAGAGAGTAGAGGTTGCCTGTGCAAATTTGTTCTACCGCAAGGAAACTAGAAGAGCTGGATCTGAGTAAGTAAAGCAGAGTAATAGAAGATGGGTAAGAAAAATAATGGGGAGGAGGCTGGACCAAGTAGTGTCTTAGAGGCCATTGTAAAGCCTTCGGCTTTTACTGTGACTGAAATGAAGAGCCATACCAGGGAGTGACATAATCTGATTTACATGTTAAAAAGATCACTGTGGCTTTTGTGTTGAAAGTATATGTAATGGGCAAGACCTGAAGAGGGGACACTAGTTTAAAGACAATTAGAGTATTCCATGGGGAGCAAATAGTGGCTAAGGTGATGAGACATGGTTGGATTATCTATATATTTTGAAAGTAGAGCCAAAAAGGATTTGCTGAAAGATTGGGATACACAGTAGGAGAGAGAGGAATCAAGGATGATTCCCAGATTTTTGGCTTGCATAATTGGAAGAGTGGAGTTGCCAGTTAACTAAGACGAGAAAGACATTGGGCAGAGGAAGATTTTGGGTGAGTGATAAAAAATTGGAGAGGAAGAAGTGAGAAATACAGATGTGAGGTGGTACCTGGAGGAGGAAATTTTTAAGTTGGGAAAAATAACAGCATGTTTGTATGCTGGTTATATCCAGTGGAGAGGGAAAAATAGGAGAAAGTGTCACAGAATTGCTCGAGAGCTATCCCTGGAGCAGACAGTGGGCTCTATCGAACAGTGAGAAGGCTTGATGTTAGGAGGTTTGACAGCTTATCCTAACAGCAGGCTATATAGAGAGTTTACTCATTAACTACCTCAGAACAAAGTTGTAGAGTGGTGAATATGGGAAAGAGAAATCTTTCTAGAAAAAAACTACTTTTTTCTCCTCTTCCAGACAATGTATTTCAGTAGAGTTCTTTAACCATGGACTGCCATAATAAAGAAGTCCCTGTCCTCAGGACATTAGGTTATAGCTATTAAAGTTAGAGGTTTTATTTGCATTTTGAGATTTGAAGCATTTTTTTTTAAGTGATGAGGAAAAATATAACCAAGAATTCTAAGCATATACTTTGCAGATGTGAAAAAAAAACTTTAAAGTAATTATTGATCTAATTTTTAGGAAGTGTTCTATTCAGTAAGGGCCCAGTGTATTTTGTGAAGTAGATTGGTTTACACCAGGAGTTAGCACACTCTTTATATGACACCCACTGGCTAAGAACGATAGTTAGGTTTTTAAATGATTAGGCAAAAATGAAAAGAATACTATTTTGTAATATATGAAAATTATATGAATTTCAGATTTCAGTGTCCATAAGAAAAATTTTATTGGAATGTAGCCATACTCAATCATTTTTGCATTGTCTATGGCTGTTTTTGTATTATAATGGCGGATTTAAGTAGTTATAACAGAGACCTTGACTAGCTCAAAAAGCCTAAAATATTTATCTGGCCTTTTTCAGGTAAAGTTTGCTGATCCCTGGTCTATAAGACCTTTGAATCAATTTGTTAATTTGTTAATTTTTTTTATTATAAAATTTGAACTCCACGGAACATTCTGCTTTCACTTGCCAAATTGCAAAGAACCACATGGGAAACCCCTCTTAATCAGCAGTTTCTTGATTTCAAAAAAGAAGATTCAAACTCTGCTTCCAAATTAATAAATTGAAACTCAAGTTTTTTCCAAGTGTAGGGAGTTTTATCTTTTTTCTTTTTTTTTTGAGTATTCCATTAGTCTTTTATTGGAACATTTATTTAGTTTTTTTTAAAAAAACATGAAATTTATAAGGCTCTTAAGTCTTAAGATGTCAGAGAAAACACTCATTTTCTTGGTTTTCTTCATTTGTAAAATGAATGTAAATTATTTTTTTTGTAAATGTTTTTATAGTTTGTTTTTGGCATACCTTATACTTTTCCAAATATAAGGTAATGTGCAATGTTTTCCTTTTTCTGTTTTATAGGAAAACGGGAATGTATTTAAGCTGCTCAAAAAATCAGTGAAAGAGGCAGCATTAGATTTTTTTCAGCCTTAGATTTTAAATGCTTTTGCATGGTTGGGCTAGATGGAAAAATTAATACTTTATGTATTATCGTTTTATGACTTTCCTTTTTTTGAAGACAAGTTAAAAAACTTCTAGTTACAAAAATGGCATATGTTCATTATAAATACAAAGTAGATACTAAAGTCGAGGTATAAAGAGATAAAAATCTGAAAACAATTTATAAAAGAGAAAAAATGGGGCAAGGACAAATTGTATTTTAAATTGGCCCTTTGACTGGAGCACAAATTATAGATAGAAAAGTCAGATGAGACATTTGCAAATAATGTAGGGGGAAATCATCTAGGCCACTAAATTTTGCAGCTCCAGGGCCCTTTATTGTTTATTGTTTTTAATTAAGTAGGGGTGCTGGTAGGATATGACACCATGATCTTGACTCTGCTTGAGATCGATAAAGATTTTTTTAATTTTTTTTGTTTTTTAAAAATTTTTTAATTATTAAAAAAAACGTGAAATTTACCATCTTAATCATTTTTAAGTGTACGGTTCAGGAGTGTTAGGTATATTCACATTATTATGCAACAGATCTCTTGAACTTTCTCGTCTTGAAAAACTCAAATTCTGTACCCACTGAATAACAGCTCCCCTTTTCCCCTCCACCCGTGCTTTGGAAACCACCATTCTACTTTTGGTCTCTATGAATTTGTCTCCTCTGGGTACCTCATATAAGCGGAATCATACCGTATTTGTCCTTTTGTGACTAACTTATTTTACTTCGCATAATGTCTTCAATAATTATACATGTTGTAGTCTGTGAACAGATTTCCTTACTTTTTAAGGCTGAATAATATTTCATTGTATGTATACCACATTTTCTTTATCCATCTGTGTATTCATGGATATGTGGGTTGCTTTCACCTCTAGGCTGTTGTGAATAATGCTGTAATGAATACGGGTATGCAGATACCTCTTTGAGGTCTTTCATTTTTTTGCTTTCATGTTTTTTTGGATATATACTGGTCTATGACTATGAATACAAAATTATTATTGTTTTAAAGTGTTCTCTGTTTTCTGACAAATGGTAGGATTTAGGAAATAATCTCAAGGTATAATGTTGGGGGTCAAATTGTTAGTTGATGGCGAGTGCATTACTAGTTGGTAACAGAAGAATCCAGAACTTATCCTATTAAACTAAAGAATTTCATAAGCACAATATTATGAGTATAGTATTTATTTGTATAGAAGAAACTGTACTTAAAAAGAGGATTTAGTGCATTTCAGTATCTGTTGCTCACAACCTAGTGACTAAAAAAACTTAATGGCTTGACTTAGCATTACTCATGATTCTGTGGGTTGCCCAGGTGGTTCTTACATTTCACCTGCTGTTGTCTAGGAAACCTAAAATGTCCACATAGCTGGCAGTTGGTGCTAGCTGCCAACTGGGAACTCAGCTCGGGCAGTCAGCCACAATCTCAGTTCTTTTCCATGAGGGTCTCTCCATGAGGCTAATTGGGGTCCTCACAGTATAATGGATGGGACTTTAAGAAGGAGTGTTCCAGAAGGAAGGCTCCAAAAGGAGTAGCTCAATGAGCCCATGCTTATTGGGCTTCCACATGGATCATGCTTGTGAACATCCCATCAAAGCTGGTCACATGGCTTAGCCCAGAGTGGTACAGCAGAGGCCTGACTCTGCCAGGGCATGAATAGCAGGAGGGATAGTTCTTTAGTTCAGTAGAGGCCACCAAGGTAGCAGTTACCAGGCTTGTGTAGAAGAAGGCATTATTTTAAATGAGGACACATAGTCTATTAGATTTCTTGAATTTGTCTTTTAAAATATCTTCCTAGGTTTCAGACTTGGGGAAAATTGGTTATTTTGGTGATTTGTCTACACTTTTGATATTTGGCTGAAATTATGTTAATACATAATAAGATTTGATAAAGTTGTTAAAATTCGGCCAGTTTGATTCTTAGATCCAATAAGGATGTAAAATTGATAACGCTGATATGCTCTCAGATTAATATTGTTTTGAAGGGGCGCCTGGGTGGCTCAGTTGGTTAAGCGACTGCCTTCGGCTCAGGTCATGATCCCGGAGTCCCGGGATCGAGTCCCACGTCAGGCTCCCTGCTCAGCAGGGAGTCTGCTTCTCCCTCTGACCCTCCTCCCTCTCATGCTCTCTGTCTCTCATTCTCTCTCTCGCAAATAAATAAA